AGTGATCCCAGTGGTGATAGGAGCATTTGGGGCCGTAACTCCTAAGCTGGGAGAGTGTCTCCAACAGATCCCAGGAACAACATCAGAGCTCTCTGTCCAGAAGAGTGCAGTGCTAGGAACAGTGAAGATACTGTGCAGAACCCTCAAAAGTGTCTCCAACAGATCCCAGGAACAACATCAGAGCTCTCTGTCCAGAAGAGTGCAGTGCTAGGAACAGTGAAGATACTGTGCAGAACCCTCAAACCCCCAGGCCTCTGGTAGAGGACTTGAGATTGAGGAAGACACAGACCACCCATAAGGGTGAGAGGGGAATATTATATACATACACATACACATATACATATACATACATGCATACTTTTGCCTTTCTTTCTCACATAGGAATCCCAGAAAGGTTGTGAATCTCCTGAATGAAGGACTGGGTACTCTTTGAGGGCGTATAGGAAAACAATTTGAAAGTTAATCCATCTTTGTGGATTTGCAAAACTAGTTGTTCTGGATGATAATTAAAGTCAAATGTAGCTGCACACCCCTCCATAGATTAGGTAAGGAATTTGGGGGTTCACTTGGTCTTGTTACTAGCTGTGAAACCCAGGTGGCAAAGTGACCATGAATACTTTTTATCATATCAGGATAATATGTTGTGGCCCTGTTTTGAACCAGGATTACTGAAATATGCTTTCTGTCAGTCTTCTTTGAGGGTAGGTGAGAAATTCCAGCTGGTGAGCATGCAGCCATCAGATGGCTAGTACAGGACAGAAAACAGCATGTAACATCTCACTTATGTCAGCAGCATTGGGTATCAGTTTGTTTTGGGGGGATTTCTAACTGTCTTTTATGAAAAGATCTGAAATGGGATTACCTATTTTATCCCACCCAATCCTGCTTGAATGTTTAGTTGCACTCATGAGTCTGCCAGTTAGAATAGCCAGATTAAGAAGGAGAAGCAGCAGGACTTTCTTAGTGATGGCCCTCAGTGTGGGAGCTTCAGCTGTGCTCTTCGTATCTCACATCTTTAGTGCAGACTATTCAAACTTATTTCATTGGCTATAAGATCAAGCTGGGTTTTCCTCACATAATTTATATATATTTGTCTGCCTTTCCATTTGCAAAGTGCTTTGGGCAGTTATATCACAAAGAGAAATACCAACAGACCAAATAGCTAAGACTGAATGTTAGTGCAGACACAGTTCTGGTCATCTTAGTGTCTCCAGCTCTTCGGTTGGCGTTACTGAAAATGATGACACACCGTTTTTTTGTGGTCTACCACAAAAGTCTAAAGCTTCTGAGCCTTGCTGTCACTTATGATCCTGATGCAGCTGAAGAGAAGCACACTATCATACATAGCTATTTTCATTTCTGTCAACAAACATTTGTTTCTCACAATAGACCACATGTAACCTATTTAATTTCTCTTAGTATTTGCATGTCTTAAAATGTCTTCGTATATTTTCACATCTTTAATAAACATTCTACCAAGATATATAAATTAATTTACTTGCTGTAGTTTTTTCATTGCATCATACAATCTATCTAACATTTGTTGCAAATCATTCAGGTTCTCAGCCAACAGCATAACATTGTTTGCATACAAAAGTACAGTATATCTATATTCATGTCTGCAACCAATGATTTTTAACATTACTAAAGGAATCTTTATACATTTATCTATAGGTATACTAAAGAACCACGGGGATATTACATAACCTTACTCCTAACTTAATACTGAACCATTAACTAAGCGTTGTATTTAGTCTCACATATATCTTCCTTCCATCAAATACTGCTCATATGGTATTCAGCAGCCAGCTTTCAACTTCCATGTTCACACAAACAAGTCAGACCTATTCACTTTATTACGTCCTTTCTCTGACTCATCAAATATACAATCAACTTTCTTTCTCATCATACATTTCTCAATTATCTC